GTGGCTTTATAAAATACAATGGATCACAACAAAAAATATCTCTAACAATCTCCCCCTTTGTGATCCAATGTCCATTTCAGCTCTTATTGTTCTTTTGCCTTTTGATGTAATTCTTCCGCAATGCTAAGGCGTGCTCGTACATGCGCAACATTCTTCTCTTTTCGAATATGTCTTCAATTGCCTTTAGCACCGTGTTTACTTTGTCGAATTCCTTTATTTCTGCTTCAGAGGCTTCAGGATCCCATCACAGTATCTTGCAATGTCATCTATCCACAAAATGCGTTTCTTCTGTTCATGATTGAGATAGATGACTATGGCCGGATCTTCAAAAATAGTGTAAGGTGGAAACTCTTCAACCTCCGGTCCATACAAGATTGACTTTGTAAGATTTGTTCTGGTGATGTTGTTCTCGAGAGCTATCTGAAGATCGTGAGTGGCATGAACTCTACTTGCCTCAGCATGAAACGTCTTATTGCTTCATATCCTTCTTTGAGGACTTTATTCTTTCTGATGGACAGGTTCCTGTAGACCATAGACATTTGATAGATGTCTTCCATTTTCAGCATAATAAAATCGTTCTCTCTGAAACCCGCGCCTGATTTTTTGAATCCAGCGCATGTTGGCGCCTCCTGGTTTTTCGGTCTAGTGAGAGTTGAGAGCTTTCTCTCCCAACTTGACCTCAATGGTCACTTTGTTCTCTCACGCCGCCGGAAAAAACCAGCCGCACCACCGTCAACCACCGCCAAACTACCCACCGGAGCTAGGAAATCCACCATATTACTCGTCCATCATCTTGGGTCTGTAATATCTTTGATTTCTGACCTCCTTTCACGCAAAAAACTTCCGCGCAAACACTATTCACGAAAAAACAATTTTGATCTTAGCTCACTCTTGGCTTGGTGGATACCCGAGATTTTCTAGCTGGGAGACTCTCTACTCTTGGCGACCTCACAGCTTGAATTTGAAGGCAATCCATTGGAGCCGTACAAGAGAATTCTCCTATATATAATATACATTTTGCAAATATGAATTCTACCGACGCCCTCTTTTATAATTTTAGGAGACAGCTTTATTACTGAGTTTTTTTATTCCATTAATTTAATTATAACAATTTCTTAGTTTCAAAGTATTTCATTTTATTTTATTCCAAATTTTGTAGTGTCACAAAAGGGCAAGGTCTAACTTTGCTAGAGTCCTCATAGAAGTGGATGCATCCATAGCTCCACCTCTCAAAATCAAGGTGAAGATGCCGAGCCAAAAGATACATAACCAAAAGGTTATATATGAAACATTTCCAAACTATTGCTTTCATTGCAAAGCATATGGTCACCACGCCTTCACATGTAAGGTGCTTGCTGATTTAGAGCAAAAGGAAAGGGAAAACAAGAAGAAACAACTAGAGGAGGGGGATGGGCAGCCTGTTTTGGAGGAGCAACAACCAAAGGAGGACACAACTAAGGGCAAGAAGGTGGCTGCACCTAAAGCCGTGACACATCCTTTCCAAAAAGTTGTGAGGCTTAACAAAAGAAGAAAGCAAAAAAGGAAACAACAAGAAAAGGGAGAACTTTCATCTGGATATCAAACCGAGGAAGAGGAGGAACCAAGAACCATCAAGGCATTCAAAAAGGTTTTCAACAATGAGGTTATAGTTTCCATGGAAGCGGATGAAGCACGCTTGCCCATTATTCAAGTAAAGCACTATGATGATGTCAATGAACCTACCATTAGGATTAACCATCTTCTCAAAATGGTTAAACCAAGCGAGCCGGGGATATGGTTTACTAGGAAATGTTTAGAGGGGCTGCCCGGTGTCAAACCAACCAAGAGATTTTATGTCTTCACGGCTGAATTTATGAGTTGTGTTTATAGACACTTCCTTGAGAGATATTTTGAGGATGGTCACCCTATGGGGAAAGGAAGCAAAGTTATGCATCCTAAGCTCATAGAGAAGAAAGAGATACGGATAGTAGATGACATGAGGGAGGGCTATCTAGATGATGTGATAACCAAGGTGGTGTTTGACAAAGTTGGGGGATACAAGCTGCACCTACAACATCTCGGCCATGCACAAGAGAGTATCACAAGGCTTGACAACTACCTCCATATTGATGGCCATGGAAAGAGGGATGGGATAAACTTTACAACCGCATGCTTGGAGTCACTTCCCGGAGTTATACGCACGGATGAAGGGTATGATTTCTCCTATAATTTTATGCATAAAGTTTATCCACTTTTTCTTGATAGGTACAAACGATGTGATAGCTATCGGGAATGGAGACAACAAGAGGCCGAGAGGAACAAGCTCTCTAGGAAGAAGGGGGGTAAGGCCATACATTCTTAATGATTATTGCCTCTTGGAATGTTAGGGGGCTTAACAAAGCCTCAAAGCAAAATGTAATCCTTAAATATTTAAGGATAAATAAGGTACGTATTTTTTGTTTGTTAGAAACCAAGATGTCTACTCTTTCTTTTGATAAATTCATGCATTTTAGACTTCCAAATTGGTTGTCATGTACAAATTTTGACCATATTGATGGTGGTAGAATAGCTATCATTTGGGGTCCTTCTTATGTAGATTGTTCCATTATGGAAGTTGCAAAACAACATATACATGCTCGGTTTACATGTAGAATAACTCAACTTAGCTTTTATGCCTCATTTATATATGCTTTGTACACGGTTTTGGAGAGAAGAGAACTTTGGCAACACATAAATGGAATAGGTAGAAATATTCTAGCTCCATGGACTGTTTTGGGGGATTTTAATTGTGTTTGTGACCCGGGTGAGAGGAGAGGGTCTGCCCCCCCCCCCCCCCCCCCCTCGGCTTATCTCACCCAAGACCTTAAAGAGTTAAAAATCCAGGCCAATCTGAATGATGCCCCCTCCACAGGTGAATTTTTCACTTGGTATAGAGGTGCTATTTGGTCCAAACTAGATAGGGTCTTAATCAATCCCTTTTGGAGTGCCCAAAATGTGGCATGTCAAACTCACTTCTCAGATATGGAACCTGAGTTTGATCATGTGGCATCCTTGACAACAATTGGCCAAAGAAAGAATGAAGGCTCTAAACCTTTTAAGTTTTTCAATATGTGGCTGAAACATGATAACTTTAAAGGGATTTTGGAACAAGTTTGGCTTAGGAATTTTGTTGGAACAGCCCAGTTTAGACTTGCTCGAAAACTGAAATTGCTAAAACAGCCTCTTAAGCAATTAAATAAGGAAGAGTTTAGCCATATCACAGCTAGAGCAAAGGAGTCCAAAAAGGAATATAAGAGGATTTATCAATTATCTCTTTCATCACCTTTAGATGATGCTCTAAAACAGGAACTTTTTGTGGCTAAAAAGAGATCCCTATTTTTAAAGGAAGCCGAGGAGGCCTATCTTAAACAAAAGGCTAAGGTTATCCACCTAATCCAATTTGATAGATGTACTAGATATTTTCATTCAATTGTTAAGAAAAAGAATGCACAAAATTCCATAACATCTCTTAAGTTGGAAGATGGCTCTCTTACTCAATCTTTGGATCATGTTACAAATGAGTTTATGAGTTTCTTTAAAGGCCTTTTTGGGACCTATGCATCTTCTGATGGTTATGACCCTGAAGTTATTGCATCTGGTCCTATCATAGGCCATGAACAACTTGAGAGTCTAATTTGTCCGGTTACTGATTTCGAAATTAAGCAAGCCATGTTTGACATTGGAAGTGATAAAGCTCCTGGGCCTGATGGATACTCATCTGCTTTCTTCAAAACCAATTGGAGTTTAGTTGGTGAGGATGTGTGTGAGGCTGTTAAGGAATTTTTTGTTTCTGGAACTTTGCTTAGACAAGTTAACCATACTGTTGTGGCTTTGATTCCAAAGACAAATCACTCTCCTTCTGTCTCGGATTTTAGGCCTATTTCATGTACAAATGTGATTTACAAAGTTATAACAAAGATATTATCATCTAGGTTGGGACCTATTTTGCCTAGTATCATTCATCCCTCACAAGGAGCATTTGTTGATGGCAGACTAATGGTAGATAATATCTTTCTGGCACAAGAGCTAGTGAAGGGATATACTAGGAAGAGGGTCACACCTAGATGCATGATAAAGGTAGATCTTAGGAAAGCATATGACACTATTTCATGGGAATTCTTAGAAAATGTGTTAAGAGACATTGGACTCCCAAATATTTTTGTTAATTGGATAATGGAATGTGTAACTACATCGTCTTTCTCCATTTCCATTAATGGTACCCTCCAGGGATGGTTTGAAGGAAAACGAGGACTTAGACAAGGGGATCTCATGTCTCCATTACTATTTGTGTTATGCTTGGAATACTTTTCTAGGCTGATGGATCTCAGGACCTTGGATCCTAAATTTAAACATCATCCCCTATGCTCCCAACAAAAAATTTCTCATTTAGCATACGCGGATGATTTGGTACTATTTTCAAAAGGGGATTGTAAATCCATTGAGATTCTGGCCGAGACTCTAAAGGATTTTGGCAAGGTATCTGGCCTAATGGTAAACCATGACAAATCTAACATCTTCTTGGGGGGTAATGTTTCAAATGCACTACCCCAAATATTGGATTTGGTAGACTTTCAACAAGGCACCTTCCCGGTCAGATACTTAGGCATCCCTTTAGCCCCATTAAAGATCTCTGTGGCACAATTTTCTCCTTTAATTGATACTTTCACAGATTACATTAATGTGTGGAATACTAAGTCTCTTTCTTATGCAGGGAAAGTGGAATTGATAAAATCTGTCATGCAAGGAGTTCAATCATTTTGGTTGGGTATCTTTCCGGTACCAAAGACTATACTTGATAGGATCTTGGGGCTGTGTAGAATTATTCTTTGGGGGGGTAAATACTCAAAAGTGGTGTGGGATGATGTGTGTCTCCCAAAGGAAGAGGGAGGACTTGGCATTAAAGATGCAAAAATCTGGAACCATGCTCTCCTCTCTCGGATTTTGTGGAACATACACAATAAGCAAGATACGCTATGGGTTAGGTGGGTTCATGGTGTTTATCTCCATGGGAGAGATGTGTGGACATTTGTTCCACACAATAGGGACTCTCAATTGATGAAAAGGCTTGCCTTAATCCGAGATTCCATTGTCTCAAAATTCCCCACAATTGATATGGCATTAGCCTTCCTCAATAAGAGCTCAATGAACGGTAAACTAGATACCGGGAAAGTTTATGACTTGTTAAGGGTGAAAGCCGCACCTAAGATGTGGATGTCCTTCATTTGGAAGTCCTATGTACCACCAAAGTTTTCATTCATAATGTGGCTGGCCTTGAGAAATAGGTTACCTACGTATGATAATTTGAGATTTCTTGATGTGATTAACGAATGTCCTTTTTGCAAGGGTGAACCGGAGACGGTGTCACACCTATTTTTTGGATGTAATTTTGCAGGGCAGGTCTGGAAAAAGGTGAAGCTTTGGCTTGGAATTACAAGGGAAATGACTACTTTGAAGAGTGCAATCAAATGGATTAAAGAGGAGCATAATGGAGCAAATATCAAAGCAAAAGCTATAAGGATATCATTATGCTATATGGTCTATTGGACTTGGAGAATAAGGAATGCCATTAGGTTTGATGGTGCCACGGCCAATGTGGAAGACATGGTTACACAAATCATGTATATGGTGTATAAAGTACGTTATCTTCTTTACCCGGTCCATATGATCACTTTTTGAAACTTTGGGCTGTTCATCACCCATTTTTTGTCATGGCTTGATGGCTGTTTTTTTGAGGTGGATAGCTAGCTTATATGGTTAGCTATCAAGTTTTGTGTTTTGGAGTAGGATAGCTAGCTGCTATGGTTAGCTACCTAATATGTTTTTGTTTTTGTGAGGCATTCTATACCTTGAATGCCGTAGGTTTTTGTAATCTTGTACATTGATGTACATACACATTCTTGGATATATATATTTACATTCTATCCAAAAAACATTAAAATCGTTCTCTTGACAGGTGAACTCTGTGCCATCAGTTCTTTGCAATCGATAAATCGAATAGCTTATTCCATGATGATTTCCTCTGGACACATTCAGAATATCCCAAATATGGCATTTGCTCGTTTTAAGATCATGTTCCAGAATCTCACGCTGTTTGCCTGTTTGTGTGTAGCATATAATGGGCACACAACTATTTTTTTTACCCAAGGAAGTAGGGTGTCGAACCACAGAGAAGCGGGAAATAAAATAATTAAGCACAAACTAAGGATTAAAGTTGGGAATGCGTTTCTTTTGATTTTTGTTTACTTGGAAAAGTAATTAAATAAAAGTGATTGAGAGAAGAGACTTTTATCAACACAAAGTTCAACCAATAGCAAGTAGGGGTAGAAATTGGCAACTAATTGTTCAATGCTCATTTGTAAGACATAATTGCTAATTTTATTCTTAGATAGATTGTGAGAAGTTGTAGATAAATATTTTAGGACCCAACACAAGTCACCTAAAATAAGTAACTAGTCAACATTTCCCAGTGATGGCCAAAACGAGACTAGTTGTTTAAGTGCAACGACAACCTTAATTATTAACTATATTATTTACCCAACCCCGTGGTGTAAATAATATAATTAAATAATTAAATTCTCCCGTAAAACTTCAATTCGGGACAAGGTAAAAGAAGTTTAACGGTGTGTTCAGAAAGTGTTCATTTGTGTATTTAACAAACAATATGTTTATGATTGAGTACTCATAATATATATCATAAACACAACATAATTAAGTTTCTGGACACAACAATCTAAAAAGAATAAACTTAACAATTAAAATCAATACAAATTAAAACATTATAAGAACAATTAATTAACCAATTTCTAGCCCCAAATTTATTTAGCTATACATGTTGGGAAACATAGAAATAGATGAATCCATGATTAAAGTACAAGATTTAATGAGATAAGGAAGATCAAACTTGTGATTGATGACAATCCTTGGAGCTTTGATGCTAATCTTGACTTAATCTTGGATGAGAAAGTGATTAGTTATGGTTGAAGATGGGTTGATGATTTGGGGTTGAGAAATGAAGAGAGAAGGAGGAGGAAATGTTTCTGGGATGTTTAGAGAGAGGTTGGTCCGAGCTTATGTGTGGAGGAAGATGGATTAAGGCAATATAATGATAAGGTGATTAATCATTAATTGCTGGGATTTACGGAACAGATGAGTTTATGTACAACAAAGCGCAGTAAAGTTTCAACAGTGGCAGGTAGCTCAACGGATAAGCACTTCAGGGGAAAATTTAGAGATCTTGGGATCGATTCTTGGCATCAACATTTTGTTCTTTTCTTTGCCGCGTTCAGAAGGAATATAACAATTGCCAGCTGAATATGTACAATATTGATCACTTAGCACATTGGTTGTAGTAGGCATTCTTCTACCCTTTCTCTAGGGATCGAATCCCAACTCCATCATTTTTATTTTTTGCTTCTTTTCTTCAATTTACTCCTTATTTGTTTTGAAGAAAATTCCACTTTTATTGACTTCCAACTTGAACTTTTATTTTCTTCTTTTGTTCACTCTAATGTATCCAAATAGCATCAAAAGTACCTGAAAATACAAAATACCCGTGTAGGGACTGCACAAGTACAAACTAACGACAAATTATAAAAATATGTACAAAAGTAGAATTTTAATGACTAAAATTAATAACAAACTAAGCCTAAAAAGTGTGTAAAATACAAGTACATCACCTGTTGATCGGTGATATAACATGTGAAGATGTCTGCCGACTTGTCTACCTTTGAGATGGGTTAGACCTCAGACTTTAAGCTCATCAATTTTCTTGATCCTATCAGGTTTTCTCCATAAATGCTTTCGGATTTCCTCTTGAAAGGGGGCAGTGATATTGATATTCTCCCATGGGTCTTCATCTCTGGGCAAGAGCGCTCTTGTTCTTCTGACAATGGAGGGTAGCTATGCTGGAGTTTTCTTGTAGTTCTCCCCTTCCTTGAGTTCATCTTCCTCGAGCTCTATCAGATCTTCATCGCATTTTTTCAGTAAGTCTCTGAGATAGACTCCTCTTTGCATTTCATATTGCTCGACCTCTGGTCTAATTTCGTCCCATTCTGTCCATTCTCCGTTCCATCTTTCATCGATAATGATCTTTTCTAGTTCATCGTAGATGGACAGGATTTGTTCTTCAGAGGGAGCATTCATCTGTGTTGCTTCGTAAGAGGTTAGTCCGGGATCACATGGATTTCCCGTTGTCATCAGTATAGAACTAGGTTCTTCCTGATGGTCTGAATAAAATGGTGTACTCGAAGTAGCTACCTCAGGACTTCCACTCCATCCTTGGTCAAAATCTCTGAGAGATATGCCTCGGAGTGTTTTGTCTAGCTCGACCATGCTAGAGATATGTAGGTTTGTGGCTTGGCTATTGGGTTGAGTGGTGGATGGGGGCTGGTTGTTCGAGGATTCAGGTTGGGAATCATGTGTGGGTTGTTGGCTTGTTGATGCTCCATGCTCAAGTGTCTGTTGCCTCTTGTTCTCCCCCTCATGAGGATCTGAGTCATCAGGGTCCTCATGCGAACGTTTGTGATTACAGAGACGGTCACGACATGTGCTATCGGTTTCTAAGAATACACGAATAAGGGCTTTTTGTCTTGGGGTTCGGTTGCCTTCTTCGGTGGCTAGAATTCTCGCTAGCATAATAGATTCGAGTTCCTCGAAAACAATGGTGTAAGGGTTAGGATGAGGTGTGGTCGTTGTAGGGGAGGACACACGTTCTGTATCCTGGGTTCCCCTTGAAGTGGTAGGTGTTTGAGGTTGTGTGGTTGATGGTTCAGAGGTTTGAAGGGTAAGTATGGGGGTAAGTTGTTGTTGAGAGTGAGAAGTGGATGGTTGTGGTTGGGTGGTGTTAATCGGTAGCGCCTGGGTGTTCATGAATTCCTGTGCCCGAGCGGTTATTGCTTCGTGCACCCATGGCTTAATGGTGGAATCCATGAAACTCTGCAGAATGACAGAAAGGTCGGTAGGTTCGGGCTGTCCGGTTACAAGGGTAGTAACCGTTATCACAGCATCAGTAAAGATTACCGATGTGTGGCCTGCAGATAATGATTGAGTTATCTGTTGAGCAGTAGGACTTCTGATCATCATTGACGTATCTCTGATCGTTATTGACAGGTAAAGTGAACCTGTTGAGTGCAGTGGTGTGAGAAGTGTAGGTGTCCTAGAAAAATTTGAAAATGTAGGGAGTGTGACACCTAGACTCATCGTGCTTGAAGGAGGGGTAGTGGTCCGGGGCGATAGACCACTATATAATTCCTCAACTGCGTCGTAAGGAGGCAGAGAGGTGGGTGTAGTATCCCCTATTTGTGAAACTACTACCTGTTGAGAGGCAGCAGAGTGGCTAGGTTGGGCTTGTGCATGTGCAGTTGGGCTTAATGCTGCGTCTTCTACTCGGAAACTAAAAATATCAGTCTCTGCACCTATGGGGTTAGCCCGGTTTATTTCTTCGAAGTCGGAATAACTATCAAATATGGTCATGTCGTCCGCAATGGCGCTGTCCGTTTGCACTCTTTGCATAGGAATGGATGATGAGGAGGGGTTGTCGTGACATACCTTAGAGCGAGTCTCACTGATGGTTTGTCCTTCAGTGTTTTTGATCAGGTGAGACCCCTCTTTGTTTGTAGCCCTAGAAAGCCTTATAATGAATCTTCCTTTCTGAGCAGGGGCTTTCTTGGCTTTTCTCGCATTATTGTCCTCGTCATCGTCATCCTCATCACTGTCATCGTTGTCGCTTTCCTCAGCCTTGCTCCCAGAGTCCTCATCATCAGCATCTAGTGTTCTGGCTATGCTTGATGAATCACGGGTAGTCTCTTCAGCATGGGTGTGGCCCTCAGCAGACAAAGTCTGATCATCATGGGGCCAACTTGCCACTGGTCTCTGTGGCCGGGTTGAACTCTCAAGACCCTCACTCACACTTGGTTGACTCCCAGGGGTAGGCTCAGGGGGGTTTATCTGAGCCATAGGGAATATAATGTTGTGCTCTTCACAGTAGCGTCGGACAGATAGATCATTCGGATCGGCTAACTGTAGAAGAGCCACTGGTATAGTCATGGGTACCAGCGTGCGATCATCAAGCATTTTCTTGAGACGTTGGACGGACGAAATGTAGACATTTTCCTTTGATAATCGTCGAGGAATTGCTGCAGTGGATCGGGAGATATGTCTTACAATCAGTGAAAACCACCTCATGTAGGGAAGGTGTTTGATCTGGTCCGTCTTTGTCCTCTTTCTGACTAGCTCAAAAATTTCGTCCCATATCAGCGAGACGTTGGCGTAGTTCTTCATGAAAGCGATGCCATGGAAGATGGTCAAAAGGTAGATGCTGCACTTGTCGAAGCCAGTGTGTTTGGCAATACATCACCTGTTGAGAATAGCTAGCATTGTCCTCCACGGTCTTGGTAAGCGTCCCGGTCTGACATCAGAAATGAGCTTGATTGGTGCAACATGGCCTAGCTAGATCATATTGGCCATCATTTCAGGTTCAGATTCCAGCTCGTCATAGTGTTCTTCTTCCAGGATTTGGAGAGCTTGGTGCAGCAGATCTTTGGTGATGGTGACCTCAGTGTTCATGATAGTGACGGTCAGCTCGTCATCTATCTCTTCATTGTCGTCGTCAAGGACTTTGTTTAGTGTTCCCCAAAATTGTTGGAGATACACCTCTGGTACTTCAGTAGATTCGCTCAGGGCTTTTCACAGCTTGTGCCCTTTCAGAATGGCAATGAAAACATCATCTTGGCATGAGAACACCTCTGGGTCCAGCTTGGGATTATTTTCTCTGATAGTGTACCAGTTTTCCCTTGGGTAGATCTGTCTAATTTTGGGAATAGCTACCATTTCGATCTGAAAATGATAAACAGATTAGAGCATTTGATAAAAAATGGTTGCTAAATCCACAAATTAAGGTCTTATTTGGGCTCTTTTTCCTCTATTGTGATCAGGGTTTGATAATTTGGGCCCCTTTGTTTTTTTTATGATTTCGTGGGTTTTTTTTTAAAAAAAAATTGGGATAAGTGCTTGGAGGTTCCTGGGCCGGGTCTTAGAATTTTTTGGCCCAACTAAGCATTGGCAATTCTACTTTAGTTGACGTGGGCCTAGAGTGAACTTTGAAATTTTTTTAATGGCCCAACACTTATGTTTTGCACCTGGGCTGAAATCGCGCAGGGCTTGAGTATGCGCCTATGTTTCGCGCATCAGCTACTTTTGGGTCATTAGTGAAATGGCGCATGAGTTTAGTGAAAATCGCGCATAGCCTGTTTTGCGCACCAACCCTAAATCGCGCATAGGGATTTTGCGCATAGTAGTTTCGTGCATCTAGGGAATCGCGAGTCTCCATGTATGGCGCATAGCGAGAATCGCGCACCAAGGGAATCACGCATCCCCTTAATTGCGCAAGGCTAGATTCCCGCACCAGAGTAATCGCGCATCAGTTTCGCGCAAGGGCTGTTCGTCTTCTTCGTTGAGTCGAAACCTGTTCATCGTCATTAGTGTACCTGTGAAACATTCATTTTGAAACGAGTATGGAATATTTACCCTTTGAAAGAGACGGGCGAAAAAAACTTGGAAGCTTAACAGGGGAGATGAGTGATTTCGACTGAGAGAGGAGTGAAGTTCGATCGTTTCAGCGCAGAGAGAGAGTGAAGAGGAGGTATGCGATATTTGAGGTTTAAATAGCTAGGCCCGGAACTTTAAAAGTTTTAACGGGCCACGTCCTTTTCCTCCTTTTTTTATTTTATTTTCAAATTGCTCCCCCTCAACACTTGCTCTCCTGACAATGAATATTTTTAGAAACTCCCCCTCAATTTATGCATGATATTGAAAAAGCTCCCCCTTGATTTATGCATTGAAAAATTGACTAAAAAAATGATGCATGTGAGAAAAAAAGAATGAGATGCATAAAAAAATAAAAATGCAAATGTGTGTTGTTGTTGTTTTATTTTTCAAAATGATTTTTTTTAAATGAGATGAAATCACACGCACACACACAGTTCATAGTTATTCATTCGTTCGCGTTCAGCATCCCCAGCTTAGAGATAAGGAAGTTGAATCTCTTCTCATCCAGTGCCTTTGTGAATATGTCAGCCAGTTGTAATTCCGTGGACACAAAGTATATATCCACGGTGCCCTTCTCGACGTGATCCTTGATAAAATGATATCTGAGGTCAATATGCTTTGTTCGTGAGTGATGGACAGGATTACACGTGATGGCAATTGCACTTTGAGAGTCGCTATAAATCGGGATGTGTGAGAATGTGAATCCGTAGTCTTTCAGCTGTGTCCTCATCCAAAGTATTTGTGAACAACAACTAGCAGCCGCGACATATTCTACCTCAGCTGTAGAAGTGGACACACAGTTCTGCTTTTTAGAGGACCAGCACACCAACTTTTCACCTAGAAATTGTGCACCACCGGATGTACTCTTTCTGTCCAGTTTGCAACCCGCAAAATCAGCATCTGAGTATCCCACTAGGTCAAAACCTGATTCCTTGGGATACCAAAGGCCCAGATTAACTGTTCCTTTCATATATCTCAATATTCTTTTCACTGCATTCAGATGTGACTCCTTAGGATTTGCTTGGAATTGTGCACAGAGACAGGTTGAAAAGACAATGTCCGGTCTGCTAGATGTAAGATTACAACAAGGAACCGATGATAGCCCGATAATTGGTAGCATTGACTGGTTTCCCGGAAGGGTCAGAGTCGAGCTTTTGTGAGGGAGACATGAGGGTTTTCATCGTGGACTTGCTGTCCATTTTGAAGCGCTTAAGAATGTCGTGGATGTACTTGGACTGGTTGATGAATATTTCGTCTGGCATTTGCTTGATCTGAAGCCCAAGAAAGAAGCTCAACTCCCCCATCATACTCATTTCAAACTTGGTGCGCATCAGATTGCTGAACTTTTGACAGAAATTTGGATTTGATGAGACAAAAATGATGTCGTCCACATATATCTATATCAGCATGATGTCACCCTTGTGTCGCTTGATAAAGAGAGTTGGGTCAATCTTTCCCTTTGAGAAGCCTGATTCCACAAGAAAATCTGATAGTGCTTCGTACCAGGCTCTCAGTGCCTGTTTCAGTCCATACATGGCTTTTCTCAGCTTATAAACATGATTGGAGCGTTCAGGATCAACAAAGCCTTCAGGTTGTGCAACAAAAACTTCTTCTTTCAGATTGCCATTTAGAAACGCAGTCTTGACATCCATTTGATAAACAGGGAAGCTCTTGTGTGCGGCGTATGCAAGAAATACTCTGATGGCCTCAATTCTCGCCACTGGTGCAAAGGTTTCATCGTAGTCGATTCCTTCTTGTTGATTGTATCCTTTTGCTACCTGGCGGGCCTTGTTCCTGATTATCACACCATCTTCATCCTTTTTGTTTTTGAATACCCATTTGGTGCCTATAATGGTTTTTCTGTACGGTCGCGGCACCAGGGTCCACACTTTCAGTCTTTCAAACTGGTTTATCTCTTCTCGCATCGCAACAATCCAGTCCGAATCAGCCAATGCTTCAGCCATTTTTGCAGGTTCTTTCTGGCTTAGAAAACTTGAGTATAAGCATTCATTGACTGATGCGGCTCTGGTTCTGACTCCTTTTGATGGATCACCGATTATCAGCTCTAGCGGATGTGCTTTCGTCCAACTTCTCTCATGAGGGAGAGGTAGTGGAGTTATGATTGGTTGATCGGGGTCAGTATACTCGTTGCTTTGCTGTGTCTCAGGAGTTTCTTGTTCAGTAGATTGCTCTGGTTGTTCATTCTGTGGAGTAGGAGGATCAGATGGTATTTGTTCATGTGTATGCTCATCATTGTTCTGAACAGGAGTTTGTGATTCTTCTGATGTGGGAGCAGGTAACAAGGCAGGCTGAGCAGTTGTAGAAGTTGTAGCTGGTGATGCACGTGGCTGGCTGTAGAAGTGCTCAAATAAAGAGTCGAGTATCACATGCTCATCTGATCCTTCCTTGCCTTCCTGTTCTCCCATTCTAGAAGGTGATTGAGCCTTGCTTTCATCAGAGATTGTTGGTTCAAATTGGAAGTGCTCAGAAGCCATGTCCGCCTTTGTCCGCCATTTCATAGAAGCTCACATTGATGCTCTCCATGACGGTTCTTCTATCTTTCAAGTATACTCTGTAGGCTTTCGAGTTAGTAGAATATCCAATAAAGATTCCTTCATTTGCCTTTGGATCAAGCTTCCCCCTAGCATCCCTGTAATTCATAATGTAGCATTTGCAGCCGAAAATCCGGAAAAAGGCGATGTTTGGGAGTCGCTTGAACACAATCTCGTATGGGGTCTTGTCAAATCATTTGTGGATCATGGTCCTATTCTGAGTAAAGCAAGCCGTGTTGATAGCTTCAGCCCACATGAAGTGAGGAAGCTTTGACTGTATCAGCATAGTTCTGGTTGCTTCTACTAGGGTTCCGTTCCGTCTTTCTACTACACCGTTCTGCTGTGGTGTTTTAGCTGCAGAAAACTGTTGAGTAATTCCCTGAGCTTCGTAGAAATCGGCCAACACCTTGTTCTTGAACTCTGTCCCATTGTCAGTTCTGGCTATTTTCACATTCTGCTGCAGGTAGTTCTGTATTGTCCTGATGAATGTCATGATCAGATTTGGAGTTTCGTCCTTGGATCGCAAAACATGGTCCATGTGTAGCGTGAGTAGTCATCCACAATTACCAAAGTAAATGTGCGTCCGTTGATGCTTTGAACACGCATCAGACCGCACAGATCTATATGTAGTAGCTTCAGGGGATGAGATGAGGAGGGAAATTGTTTTGACTTGTGTGATGCGCTCCTTATCTTTCCTAAATGGAAAGCAGAACAGTGATGATTGGGTGAGTTCTTCAATACAGGCATTCCTTTCACAAGCTTCTTTGAGGAGAGGGAACAGATAGCAGGCAGATTCAAGTGTGAGAGATGTCTGTGCCATAGATTGTTTTGTTCCTGAGATGCTTTGGACAAGAGACAGATGGATATGGGGGATCAGACTGTTTTAAGATCAATGGTGTAGAGATTGGTTTTCCTCTGACACCTTAATAATGGTTTCCCGCTCATATCCATCACACAACATTGCTTACCATGGAATCTAACTTCCATTCCATTGTCACAAAATTGGCCAATGCTAAGCAAGTTGTGCTTCAGTCCTTGTACAAACGACACGTTTCTGATCGTGACACTCTCACAAATGACATCTCCTATTCCGAGAATTGGCGATGAAGCGTTGTTCCCAAACCTCACATTTCCTCCATATCTTTCAGAATAGTTGCTCAAAAGTTCCTTTTGTCCAGTCATGTGTGACGAGCAACCAGAATCAAGATGCCACACATGACTGACCTGCAAAACAGATTAGTTTCGCTTAGGTACCCATCAGAAGATGGGTCCTTCCTTATCAACAGTGAGCAGTTGTTTCAATTTCCTTTTAATTTGAGATCCCAGGCTGTCTGTTTGAGAATCATTTTTCAATTTTAATTGATCAGCCTCAGCCTTGGGAACCCATATTTGTTTTATTTTTGGAGCAAGAGAGATTTCAGATATATGATCCTTCAAAATTGGTTCCTGTGAGAGACTTTTCAGATGTTTAGCTGAATTAACCTTGAGGGGATACTTTAAGAATGAAAGTTTGAATTTCCCCTCAACAGTTGTTTTGTCAGCCTTAGGCGTTTTCAAAATTTTCTAAGCACTCACAGGATCAGTTTCATTATCAGTGGAAGTGGACTCAAAACAGCAACATTTCATTAACTTAACACAATTCAGAGAAACACAACTAGTACAACGATTAGTGATAGGTATCTAGGAAACAGAAAACTTAGAGGCATGTCTACTATCATAACTAGTTGAGGGTTCACAAAGGGAAGTCCTAGGAACAGCATTACTAGAATGATTAGCAAACGGCTCTCTAATGCTCAATCTAGACTTATTTTTAACATAGAAAAGTGCACTCGCTCGCTGATTCTTATTCACTACTCTTGACTCTTCTTCTGTCTTCCTTCTTCTTATTTTTCTTCTATTCACTCGCCTCTTTTCTTGACTCTCTTCTTCACTTGGTTTCTTATTGGAGAAGGAGACTCAGAGTGAGCGGGAGAAGTCTTACTGCTATCGATGGAGTTTTCAAAAGATTTTTCCGAGGAAGAAGGTGAAGAGGTTTGAGAAACTGTGTGAGATAGAGAGGATATTTTCAAAATTGATATTTCTTTAAGAAGTTGTTCCTTTTCTTGTTCAAGAACCTGTTTTTCTTTATCAAAAGCTTCTTTTAACTCAACAAACTTTCTCACAAGAGGTGAAATCTATGTTGGTTTGACTACAGGTTCTGATGTAGTAGGTTCCTCTCTCTCTCCTACAGTTTCCTTCTCAGGAGGATAAGTCAAGATTTCATCAGCAGGGGTCAAAGGGGGTTCTTTGGTTTGGTAACTTTTGTTTAACTCTGTATAGTTAAGAGGGATCTCGGCACCAGACTTGTTCTTTCTCTTTTCATCCTCGAGGGCATTCGTTTCTTCAGCTCCAGTGAAGGCCATAAGTTTGGTCAATCCTAATCTCACGTGTTTCATATCATAGAGTTGAATACAATCAACCTTTTTCAGGTTCTGAGGATTAGTCAATCCAAGACCCTCCTTGGAGTTGTAGAAACGAGTGTCCTTAGGCTGGTTAAGGAAAATGGTCTGGTCGGTTTGACCTCTCTTAGCTAACAGGTCTTCAAGTTCTTTTATTTTGGAATAAAGAGCATCCCTTCTTTCTTTGAGTAAACTGTTTTCACCAAAAAACTTGATTCTTTCCTTTTCAGAGACTCTTAGTTTCTCCTTAAGTTCCTTTTCACTATCAGTCAATCTTTTGTTCTCGACTGTGAGCTTAGCAATTATTTTCTCTGAATTGATTAATTTAATGTTAGAGCAGGTCTGCTTTTCTCTCAATTTATTATAGATACCATAGGCTCTATCCAATTTCTCTTCTAGCTCCTTAATTTTATCGTGTGTGTCAGTTCTAGAGCAAGAATAAACGAAAGGATTAGGGGTACTTGTTAGCCGACTTGTGCTACTCTTAGTTTTTGATGTTTACAAATAATGAAGCTAACATGTGTGTTGAGATGCTGCAGGTTTACTCATTCAAGTCAATCCACTAAAAATCGTCTTTCTTGATAGCTAGAAAAGCCATTTCATCAAGAATGTGTGGATTGCATATTAAAGGCTCTCAAAATCAATTTTATCACCTCAAATATTTTCTTAATAACTAATCAAACATTTTACTTTTGCAAGGCAGAGTCAAATTCCTAAGTTTTCCCAAGCAGTTGAGTGCTTTTTCAAAACAGCTCACTAGTTTTTGTTCTTTGAGTTTCTCTTGTTTTGAGTGAGCTGTCTTCAAGCTTTTCTCCATCCTTTTGCTGCAACTTAACCTCAATTTTAATAGCTCTAAATCCTTCTCGAATGTGTGCTTCAAACGTGGTTAAAGATCTCTTCTAGCTGACTTTTCCGGCAGCCAACTGCCGAGCCAACTGCCGAGCCAACTGCCGAGCCAACTGCTCCAGCCAAATTCTTTCAGCCAACTGCTCAAGTCAAACTTCTTCGAGCCAACTGCTGAGGCTACTGCTCCTAGCCCTCTGCCCTTAGCAGCCCGCTCCTTCCTTGAGGCTGTTCTCCTAGAAGTCTGCTACACTAATCTTTATTCTAAGTATTCTTTCCTTAGAAATCAGTCCAGACTTCAATCCAAATTGATTCTTAAGTTCAGCGCTGCTCTTTCGTTGACTTTTCCAGTAAAGACAAATATTTTATTTTGTCGTCAGGTAAAGACAATTAATTTATTTGGGGACCCATATCCTTTTCTGAACGTTGGAGCTTTTTTATTAATCTTTCTACCCGTTGGCATTATCTTCCAAATATGGAAATCAATCAAATATCAATAATTGATATTATAGCCGTTGAAGCAAAAATGAATTTTTATCAAAAGAATATGATACTCTTAAAAAGATCAGTGACCCGCAGAGTTACTCTTTAAACAAGTTGTATCATATTAGGCCTACTCAAGAGGCAGTTTGGGATTCTCAACACCCAAACACTAATAAGAGGGGACTTGGTTTTGAAGAGGACCCTAAGGTTGTTGAAATAACAACAAAATATTTTTCTAATAAAGTAAAAGGTTTTGTTAAACCCTCTTCCAGCATACACCAGTCAAAGACACCTCTAAAATCATGCCACTATTGCATGAAGTCTGGTCATTTAGTGACTGATTGCAAAGTGAAGCAACTGGTTGAGATGGGAACTTGATTCCACCTTGGAAGAGACCAAGATGGGTAGTCAAAGGTTCCAAAACTAACCCTAGAGGATCCAACTTTAAAAGGGTACCATATTAAAAATATTGAATGTTTTTGTAGGCATTCTTAAGCACCCAAAACCACACTTGGATAGTAGACAGTGGCTGCTCAAGACACATGACCGGGGACAAAGCATGGTTCAAAACTTTAACCTCCAAAGCTGGTGGTAATGTCACATTGGGTGACAAATCAAAGAAAAAGGTAATAGGCAAAGGGAAGGTAAGTATTTCTAACTCTACTTCCATTAAAGATGTGCTACTTGTTGATGGTCTTAAATATAATCTTTTGAGCATTAGTCAACTCTGTGATGATGGCCATAAGGTTGTGTTTACTGCCAATGCTTGCACCTTTTATGATAGAGATAGTAATAATGTGCTCTTTTCTGCTCAACGTGATGGTAATTTATATAGATTTTCTAGTTCTGATTTTCATCATTCTACTATTACGTGTCTTCATTCTTCTCATGATGATTCCTTTCTGTGGCATAGAAGACTAGGACATGCTAGCTAGCTTTGATCTGCTCTCTAGATTGTCTTCTAAGAATCTTGTTGTTGGACTGCCTAATCTGAAATCTGCCAAGTTGCAATTCTGTGATGCATGTAAACTGAGGAAACAACACAAGACTTCTTTTAAATCTAAGAAGGTTGTTTCAACTTCACACCCCTTACAACTACTACACATGGATCTATTTGGACCAAGTGGTGTAGCTAGTCTAGGTGGTGCCCAGTATGTCTATGTGATTGTAGATGATTACTCTAGGTTTACTTGGACTCTATTGCTTGCACATAAATATGATGCATTAAATGCTTTTGCTAAGTTATGCAAGAGAATACAGAATGAAAAAGGGTATACAATCACAAGCATAAGGGGTGATAGGGGAGGGGAATTCAGAAATGCTGAATTTGAAGCCTACTGTGATGATCATGGTATAGATCACAACTTGTCAGCCCCTAGGACTCCTCAACAGAATGGTGTGGCTGAAAGAAAGAATAGAACCCTTCAAGAGATGACACACACCATGCTGAATGAACACAAGTTGCCTAAATATTTTTGGGGAGAAGCCATCCAGACAGCCTGCTATATGCTTAATAGAGTACTACTACGCCCCATTCTAAAGAAGACCCCCTATGAGTTGTGGCATGGAAGAGCACCAAACATTTCATACTTCAAAGTATTTGGATGCAAATGTTATATCCTGAACACTAAGGATCAGTTGGGTAAGTTTGATGCCAAATCTACTGAAGGTATTTTCCTTGGCTATTCTTTGGTTAATAAAGCTTATAGGGTCTTTAATAAATCAACTAGATGTGTAGAAGAGTCTATACATGTTGAATTTGATGAGACTAACCCATTTGGGCCGAGAAAGGAACTTATCTTTTTAGATGATGAAGCTGACGAACAAAGCCCTTTGTTTGACACCGAACATGTTGCTCAAGAAGAGCCGCCTGCTGCTCGAGATCAGCCACCTGCTGAACAAACCAGCCAACTGTCAGCTGCCTACAATGGCTTGAAGGACCATCCTGCTGAGAACATTATTGGATACATTTCTAAAGGCGTAAGGACTAGAGGTAACATTAACCTTTGTGCATACTATGCATTTGTTAGTCAATTTGAGCCCAAAAATATAGAGGAAACCTTAAGTGATGATGAATGGATAATTTCCATGCAAAAGGAGTAAGACCAGTTTGAACGCAATGACGTTTGGGAATTGGATGAAAGACCAAATAACCATTCAGTTATTGGTACAAAGTGGGTCTTTAGAAACAAGTTGGATGAAGGAGGTGAGATTATCACCAACAAAAGCCGACTTGTTGCTAAAGGGTATAATCAAGTAGAGGGACTTGATTATGAGGAAACCTTTGCTCCTGTTGCTAGGTTAGAATCCATTAGGATGCTTCTTGCTTATGCTAGTTACATGGATTTTAAACTTTTTCAAATGGACGTTAAAAGTGCATTTTTGAATGGAATCCTTAAGGAGGAAGCTTACGTGGAGCAGCCTCCTGGTTTTGAAAATGTCACCTTTTCAAACCATGTATACAAACTTAAGAAGGCTCTATATGGTTTAAAACAGGCCCCACGTGCTTGGTATGAAAGGCTTTCAAAATATCTTCTTGAAAATGGTTTTTCAAAAGGGACTATTGACTCAACATTGTTTGTACGCACTTTGGCTAATGATATTATGTTAGTTCAAATTTATGTTGATGATATTATGTTTGGCTCTACTAATCAATCTATGTGTGAAGAATTTTCTAAAGTCATGACCAGTGAGTTTGAGATGAGCATGATGGGTGAACTCACATTCTTCCTTGGACTTCAAATCAAACAAATGAAAGAAGGAACCTTTGTAAGTCAGTCCAAATATGCTAAGGAGTTGGTTAAAAAGTTCACTCTACAAGAAGGTAGACATTTCGATACTCCAATGAGCTCAACTGCCAAGATTGACAAAGATGAAAATGGCAAACCCACTGATGAAAAGGTCAATAGAGGTATGATTGGTAGTTTATTGTATTTAACTGCTTCTAGACCTGATATTATGCATGATGTTTGTGTTTGTGCTCGCTATCAATCTTGCCCAAAGGAATCTCATCTTGTGGCCGTTAAACGTATCATTAGATATGTTAAAAGCACAACCAACCTAGGACTATGGTATCCAAAGGGATCTAACTTTTCCTTAGTTGGGTATAGTGATGTTGATTATGCTGGGTGTACAGTTGATAGGAAAAGTACCAGTGGTACTTGTCAATTTCTTGGTCATTCTTTAGTGTCTTGGTCATCTAAGAAGCAAAACTCAGTTGCCATATCTACTTCTGAAGCAGAATACGTTGCCTTAGGAAGCTGTGTTGCTCAAATTTTATGGATGATTTAAACATTAAAAGACTACAATTTAAATTTTACTAATGTGCCTGTGTTTTGTGATAATACTAGTGCTATTAATATTTCCAAAAATCCTGTTTTGCACTCAAGGACCAAACATATTGAGATCCGTCATCACTTTATTCGTGATCATGTGCATAAAGGAGACATTTGTGTTGATTTTGTGGACACTAAACACCAACTAGCGGATATATT